CCTTCGGCCCCCGGAGCCGGAGCTCCCTGCGGAGCCGGGCGCCGCGTCGGGCGCCGCCGCTGGCCTGGCCTTGGCGCCGCGCAGCTCTGGGGTGCTGGACGACTTCCCCAGCAGCATGCCTGCAGGGAGAGCGCTACAGTAGGGGCCCGACCACAAGAAACTACTACCTCTTGACTATTTCTGGATATTCCTCCTGTGGAGGAACAGGCTCGACTTAAAGCCTGCATCGTCTCGTGATCTTGACTTCGGTCGCGCACCTCGTCTTGTGCTGCCTTGCACAGCAGGGGCCCGACCACAAGAAACCTTCCACAAGAAACCCAGCCCCCAGACCCCAGGACGTTCACTGATTTTTTGTGCGGGAGCGTCACGTTTTCCATAGCAAAACCACGGAAACCCAATAAACCCAGGGCACCCTGGAGGCAAGCAGGATCTTTCTTGGCATGGGTCTCCACTGCATGAAGAGAATCATGGAGGCCGCGCGCGGCAACTTGAGACCCAGTTCACGTCGGATGCACGTCGGATGTATGTCGGAATCACGTCGGAGTCACGCCGCAACATCGCCGCGCGAAGGTCGTCCCCCCGTATCCGACGGGGCGGACGCGTGGACCAGATGATACAACTATCGCACGCCACGCGAGGCCTCCGCGATTTTCCTCACATACGGCAGGGGCCCAAGCTCTCAATCGGGGCTCGAGGATCGAGGTGTCGTCTTGGATCCTCTCCAGGCCCCCTCGAGGCTCCGCAACGCCACGGCCGCACTCCCCTCGAGATCCTGACCAGAACGCACCCGTGGACTGGTCCAGAGGCCGAGGTTTTCACTCTCGACCCCACACCCCTGGCGACTCGACGCCATCGAGGCGGGCCAGCTCCTTCCCCTTCCTCGGCCTCTGCAGGGCCGGTCCAGGCTGGCGGGCGCCGTCGAGAATCGGTCCCGGATGACAAACCCCTCCTCCTCCTCCTCCTCCTCCTCCTCCTCCTCCTCCTCCTCCTCCTCCTCCTCCTCCTCCTCCTCCTCCTCCTCCTCCTCCGCCTCCACCTCCTCCTCCACCTCCTCCTCCGCCTCCTCCCCCTCCTCCTTCTCCTCCCTCCTCTCCCTCCTCCTTCCTCCTCCTCCCTCCTCCCCCGGGACGCTGTGGAGACCACGAGGGGCCACCACGGGCAGGCCGTGACGCCAGAGGTGTGAGAACCGAACGGCGCTCCCACGCCCGTGCCTCGGGGGGCCAGCATTAGGTCGGGCCTGTCCCCCTACAGGCCCATTTTGGACGAAAAATTAGAAATACCCCAAAAATACTCAAAAACGGCTTTTAAAAAATCGTCCCCAGACTCTTTTTCACTAATTCTGAATATTCCCCCTGTAGAGGGACAGGCCCGACTTAAGGCCAGCAGAGGGGGGTACGCGGTCAGCGGAGCCAACAGAGAGGGGTCAGCGAATCTCGGCGGCGACGACAGGGGCGAACAGCCCAGGGGCGGCCTATCGTCGCCTCTGAGAGTCAGCTCCGGCAGGTTCGTGTCGTGTGGACCCCGGCGTTGGTTCCTGGCACCGCGTGGATCGTTCAGCCTTGAACGGTCGGCGGCTTCTCGATCGCCCGATCGTTCCAGACTGGCCGAGTCTGGGCCCCTAGCGGCGTTCAACCTTGAACGCCCGCGGTGGGGTCGCCGCCAGTGAACACGACGCGAATCTGCCGTACCACTCCTGGCTTCCTGGCGCCTCCCGACGCCAGAGGACGGCCGTGTGTCGAGAAGGCGCCCGGCGGCGAGGCCGAAAGCGGCTGAATGCAACAGGGTTCGTGAACCCCGCTTTTCCCAATCTGCGGGCGGAGGAGGAGGAAGAGGAGGAGGAGGAGGAGGAAAAGGAGGAGGAGGAGGAGGGGGAGGAGGAGGAGGAGGAGGAGGAGGAAGAGGAGGAGGGGGCTGGCTCAGGGGGGAGGAGCACTGACGTGGAGCCGCCGAGACGTCGCCGATGATGGGTCGGCGATGGCCCCTGGTAGCGAAGCCGCACGCTCCTGGGCACGGTGGGGCCACCCAGGCCACAGTTTGCGATGGTTGGGCGATTGGGGGCCGATGCTTCCTCCCATCGGCCAGTCCACCCCTGACATTGCCCCTGACGTGATGGGCCTGTTTTAAGAGGAAGAGGAGGAGGAGGAGGAGGAGGAGGAGGAGGAGGAGGAGGAGGAGGAGCCACTCCCACTCCAACTTATGGTGGTGGTGGTGGAAAACAAGCCCATCATGACGGACCCCATCTCCATGGACCCGTGCTTCGTCGCGGGTCTTCGGGGACGGACAGCCCAGGTCAGCGTTGACCCAGACTGGGCCACTCCACACGGCTCCCAAGCCCAGGCCAGCCAGGAGGGGTCGGAGGGGACTCGCTGACCCCCGCCAGCGCTGACCCCGCTGCGAGACCCCCGAGGCAGTGTCTGTCTGGACAAGACTGGCCGCCGAAGGTGCCCCAGGCCTGGGTTTCCCTCTCCCCGCGGTGCCCCGGCTGCGCTGCTTCCGCTCG